TCTTCTCCCTATATGCTCTTTCTCTTAGTGAACACCCCACCTCCAGTGGGTTTAATTGTCATTTTCTATACAGATAACTTCCATATGTACATAGTATGTCTCAAAAGTCTTAAAGAAATTTAAAACTATTAAGTTACTTAAAGCTATTTAGGCTATTAAAGGTTAAAACTATACTAATATTTCTGGGACACCATATATATCCAGCACCAGTCTATCCCCTGTGTTTCAGTTCCACATCAGCAACTGCCTCTGGCTATCTCAAACAGGATGTTCCAGAGACATTTCAAATGCAACACATCTAAAACAGAACTTATTATTCCCTTGCCCAACACCCCTATTCTAAACTTCCCTTTCTTGTTGAAAGCACTACCAGTCTTCTAATCTCTCAGGTTAATAACCTTCGTGTCATCTTTGATTCTTCATTCTCCTCTATATATCCAATCAGTTGCTAAATCTGGCCATTTCTCCTTCTACAACATTTCTCAAATCCAATTTCTCTATATTCACATAGTCACTCTTTAGGTTCAAACATATCATTTCTAACCCATGTTATTGACATACTCTCCTCTTTGATATGATGATACACTTAGAAAATCCTAAAGACTCAATTAAAAAGCTAATTGAAACAATAATTTTACCAAAGTAGCAGGATATAAAGCAAATCCATATAAATCATGAGCATTGCAATATATCACAAAGTCCTGTGAGAAGAGATAGTAAGAGATACCCCATTTAAAATAACTCTAGACAGTATAAAATACCTGGGAGTATACCTGCCAAAACAAACCCAGGAACTAAATAAACAAAATTATAAAAAAACCATTTTATATAAATAAAATCAGATTTAAATAATTGTAGAAATATTAATTGTTCATGGGTAGGCAGGGCCAGTATTATATAAATAACAATTTTACCTAAACTAATTTATATATTCGTCACCATCCCAATTAAATTATCAAAAAGAGATTTTACTGAATTAGAAAAAATAATAAGAATTCATTTGGAAGAACAAAAAGTCAAGAATATCAAAGGAACTAATGAAAAATATAAAGGAAGGAGGTTTAACAATACCAGATCTTAAACTATATTATAAGGCAGTACTTATCAAAACTCTCTGGTACTGACTAAGAAATAGAAAAATAGATCAATGAGACAGAGTAGACATACAATTCATGGCAGCAAATGAGTGTAGTAACCTTACTTTTGACAAGTGTAAAGACTTATGATTTGGGGATAAGAATTCATTATTTGGTAAAAAATTACTGGGAAAACTGGAAAGCAGTGTGGCAGAAATTGGGCATCGATCAATATCCTATACCATTTACCAAGGTAAGATCAAAATGGATACATGACCTAGATATAAAGAGAGAGATTACAAGAAAATTTGAAGGCTGTAGAACACCTTACTTATCAGACTTGTGGATAGATTAGCAATTTATGAATAAACAAGAGGCATAGAGCAGAGTGAGGTGTAAAGTAAGTAATTTTGATGACATTAAATTAAAATGGTTTTGCACAAATAAAACAAATGCAGTCAATAACAGAAGGAAAGAAGAAAATTAGGGGGAAATATTTTTGTAGAGGTCTATATCTAAAATATATAAGGAATTGTGTCAAATCTACAAGGATATGAGTCATTCCCCAATTGATAAATGGTCAAAGGATATGAACAGGAAGTTTTAGGATAAAGAAATAAAAGTAATTTATAGTAAAATGAAAAATGCTCTAAATCATTATTGATTAGAGAAATGCAAATTAAAACAACCTTGAGAAGTGAGAAATGTTGGAGGGGGTGTGGAAAAATTGGGACACATCCATTGTTGATGGAAGTGTGAACTGATCCAACCACTTTGGGACTAAATCTAGAATTATGCCCAGAGAGTTATTAAACTTTCTACACCCTTTGACCCAGCAATACCACTACTAGGTCTATTTCCCAAGATGATTAGGGGAAAATGAAAGGAACCTCTTTATTCTAAAATATTTATAGAAGTTCTCTTTGTGGTGGCAAAGAATTAGAAATTGCAGGGATGCCCCTCAATTGGAGATGGCTGAACAAGTTGTGCTGTATGATTGTGATGAAATATTACTGTACTATAAATGATGATCTCAATGATCTTAGCAAAACATGGATAGATCTGCACAAAATAATGAAGAGCAAAATAAGCAGAACCAAGAGAACATTGTGCACAGTAACAGCAATATTGTTTTAAGAACAATTTTGAGCAACTAAGTCATTTTGACTATTACAAACACCCAAATTAATTACAAAGGACATATGAAGGAAGATGGTTTCTGCATCTGGAGAAAGAAGTGATAAATAAAAGTGCGTATAGAATGATTTTACATACCTACATATATATATATATATATATATATATATATATATATATATATATATATATATATATATATACACACACACACGTGTCAAATGGGAGCCATCTGTAGGGTGAGGGGGAAGGAAAAAAAGAAATTTACATGATAGCTTTATTATATATTTAAAAGAAATAACAAGTTGTACATAATAGATTTGCAGTTTCATGTGCAATTATCTTTTTTATTATACTGTGTCATGGAAATGTTTGTTTTATTCCATAAACTAAAAATAAAATAAATAAAAATTTAACAAAAACACTCTCCCAATTCATCTACTTGCCTTAGTTCTCTCTCTACTCCAATCTATCCATGACAAAGTTCTCAAAATGATTTTCCTTAAGCACAAATCTGACCACATCGCTCCCCTGATCAATAAATTCCAAGGTTCCTTATTGCCTCTAGGATAAAATGTAAATTCCTCTGTTAAGCTTTTCAGTCCCTTTACAATTTAGCCCTAACCCATCTTTCCAAATTCATTAGATATAATTTCCCCTCTCATACTTTGTCATGGAGCCAAAATGTCCTTTCTATTGCTCTGTGGCATCCCGTTCCCTATTTCAGTGTCTTTTGTACTGACTAGTCTTCCTCCTCCTTCCAAACTCCACCTCATAGAATCCCTCTCTTTCTTCAAGAGGCTTATCAAGCACAAATTTCTACAGAAAGCTTTTTCTAATGCCCTCAATTAGCAATGCCCTCCTTATTAAATAATTTGATTTATCTTGTATTTATTCTTTTTATATTTATACTGTATTGAATTATGTCTTCTTGCTGTTTCCTCATTGGAATGTATCTTATAAGTAGGGATTGTTTCATTCTTGATATTTATATACCGAAGTCTAGCACAGTGCCTGGCACATAGTAGGTCTTTAAAAAAATATTTGATTAATCCACACAAGGAAAACAAAATGGATGAAAAATACATACACATTGCCTAAGTTATGACATGCAATTGGGTGTGAACCTACTGAGTTAGTTTATCAGTACACAAAAACTCAAAAATTTCTCTTCTCATGTGACAGGTGAGGAAAAATCGGGCTCAAATGGCCTTAGCGCGTGAAACCCAGGACCCCTCACTCCTAGTCCATGGTTCTTTTCACCACACCAAGCTGTGGAAAGATCGTCTCTGGCATCATCCCTAGATGCACAACTCCTCAGAGTGATGGAGAGGGCCACCTTCATCCATGGTGCCAGTCATGATCTCCTCTCTGAAAGCATTTACCATCCCACTGTGGAGTTCCCAATTCAAGGTGAACATTTGGAGAAGGAAGCCAGAGGAGCATAAACCAGCTCCGAGACTCCCCCCGAAAGCCTGCTAGAATGCAGAATGTTTTCCTTCCTCCCCTCCCCTGCCTGGGATTCAGATTTCTCCAAAGAAGGACAGAAGTTGGATACTGCTTTGGTGGATGCTCCTTTTTACACAGTCTACTCACACTGGACTGTACAAGACAAAGCAGATTCCCTTTATGCTGCTACAGGGCTAAGGGCTTTGCACACACCCAAACCAACCTGGTGTTGGGAAGCAGCAACTGGGAGACATAGAGAAGCTCAGCTCCTCTGTCTCTCTGTCCCTGTTTCTTTGTCTGTCTTACCGTCTTTCTCTCTTCTTTCTCTTTCTCTTTTCTCTCTTCCTTCTCTCTCTGTTTCTCTCTGTGTGTCTTTCTGTCTCTCTCTGTCTCTCCTTTCTCTGTCTCTCCTCTCTCTTTTTCTCTCTTTTCTCTCTCTTCTTTCTCTCTCTCTGCTCTCTCTTCTTCCTTTCTCTCTCTTCTCTCCCTATCTCTCATTCTTTTCCCTCTGTCTCTTTCTTTCCTTTCTCTCTTCTTTTTCTCTGTCCCTATCTCTCTCTCCTCTTTCTCTCTGTCTCTCCTCTCTTTGTCTCTGTCTTTTTTGTCTCTCTCCTCTTTCCCTGTCTCTCTGTCCTTTTTGTCTCTGTGTCTCTGTCTCTGTGTGTGTGTCTCTGTCTCTTTCCGTCTCTCTCCTTTCTCTCTCTGCCTCTCTTCTCTCTTTTCTTTTCTCTCTCTTCTTTCTCTTTCTCTTTTCTCTCTCTTCTTTCTTTCTCCTTTCTTTCTCTCTCCTCTCTCCCTGTCTCTCTCCTTTCTCTCTTCTGTCTGTCTGTCTCTTTCTTTCCTTTTCCTCTTCCTTCTCTCTCTCCTCTCTCCCTGTCTCTCTCTATCCTTTCTCTCTCTGTCTCTCTTCTTTCTCTCTCTCCTCTCTCTCTCTTTCTCTGTCTGTTTCTGTCTCCATCTCTGTCTCTGTCTCTCTCTGTCTCTCTCTTTTTTCTCTGTCTCTCCTCTCTCTTTTCTTTTTCTCTCTTCTCTCTCTTCTTTCTCTATCTCCTCTCCTTTCTCTGTCCTCTCTCTTCTATCTTTCTCTCCTCTCTCCCTGTCTCTCCTTTCTCTCTATGTCTCTCTTTCTATGTCTCTGTCTCTCTGTCTCTGTCTCTCTTTGTCTCACTGTGTGCGTGTGTGTGTCCGTTTCTGTCTCTCACCGTGTGTGCGCAGAAGGGTGGGGGCTGTGTGTGTGTGTGTGTGTGTGTGTGTGTGTGTGTGTGTGTGTGTACACGTCAGTACGCGCGCCGGGTGTGTTTCTGTGAGAGCTTCTGTCGCTGTCAGAGGCGCTCTGGAGCCGGCTCGGAGCGACTTGAGGAAGCTGGCTCTGGCGTAGCCCAGGACCCACAGCCCTGGGAGTAGGACAGCGAGCCCAACGCCCGAGCCCGCTTCACGGCAGACAAAGACTCTGGGCTTTTGGCAGCACTATTCTACTGGAAATACTGCAGGAGGGCAGAGCCTGAGGTCTGCCTGCAGGCTCCCTACCTTGTATTGTCCCCTGCCTGCCCTTGCACGCAGCCAGCTGCCCCCAGCCTCTGACAGTGAACGCTTTTGCAGGGGGAGGTGGTGGTCTCTAAGGGTAGCGAGAATACAGAGAGGCAGGGCAGGCTGCGCTCTCCGCGGCTGCCTCCTAATTCTCCTCCCTGTCAGGTTGGACGCCCAGCTCTCACTCAACCCTGCCGGCCAGGATGCGCCTCAACAGCACGGCACCCGCGCCCCCCAGCCAGTCAGAACCAGGTTCTTTCAGTTTGGAGCCGTCGGAGGGTGGAGTGAGGGACCGGGCACTCCTGGCCCCGGGCTACAGCAACAGCACTACCAACTCTTCAGAGCGGCTCCTCACCCCAGACACTGACCTGGACGTGAACACAGACATCTACTCTAAGGTGTTGGTCACTGCCGTTTACCTGACGCTCTTCGTGGTGGGCACTGTGGGGAACTCGATCACTGCCTTCACACTGGTCCGCAAGAAGTCGCTGCAGAATCTGCAGAGTACCGTCCACTACCACCTGGCCAGTCTGGCCCTCTCCGACCTCCTCATCCTCCTGCTGTCCATGCCCATCGAGCTCTACAACTTCATCTGGGTCCACCATCCTTGGGCCTTTGGCGACGCCGTGTGCCGGGGTTACTACTTCCTTCGAGATGCTTGCACTTACGCCACCGCTCTCAATATCGCCAGCCTCAGCTTGGAGCGCTATATGGCTATCTGCCACCCGTTCAAGGCCAAGAGCATCATGTCCAGGAGCCGAACCAAGAAGTTCATCAGCTGCATCTGGCTCCTCTCCTTCCTTCTCGCCATCCCCATGCTCTTCACCATGGGCCAAGTCAATGCCAGCCCAGATGGCGACCCCAACGGCCTCATCTGTACTACCATTGTGGAAACTTCCACGGTCAAGATCGTCATCCAGGTGAGAGTCCTCGCGTTCCCATTTATTCAGGTTGGGGAAGGGAGAGCGGAAACCTTCCTGCTCCATCATCTCGTCTCGAAGCTCCATCCTACTTCTCAGCCTCATCATCACAACCAATAACATCCGTCTATCCATTCATTCATTCAACAAACCTTTTATTTTGTCTAGTGTATGCTGAGCACTGTGACTCTGGAGTAAACAGAAAGTTTAGATAAAACAATCCACATTCCCTACCTTCACTTTCAACATTCCCACCACCCGCATCCTACCCCACTCCCCCAACCAAAAAAAAAGGAGCTTTTCTATTGCCACAGGGAACTGGCTCGGCTGTTCCTTTTCTTTTCTTTTTTTCTTTTTCAGAAAAGGCAACTCAAGTCTTCACCATAGCTTTCAAGGAGAGAGCTCAAGGAGGGGAGGGGAGGGGAGCATAGCGGTAGTTTCCTCTACCCACTCTAATAAATGGCAGAGGTGGTAAAGGGAGCTGAGGTATTTTGCTGTAGTGGAAAGAGCCCTGCATAAGAAGGCAGAAGAGCAGAGTTCAGGCTCCAGTTCTGTTTAACAAACCCTGTGACCCCTAGTCAATCAAGTTATCTCCTGGGACCTCAGTTTCCATCTCTGTAAAATGGGGCTGTTGGAGTAGGCATTTCTAAGGTCCTTTCCAAGCCTAAACTTTTCACGAAGTTCTCTGGGTAGGGAAACATTAAAAGGGGTAGTCAGAGCTCAGTGGTGACAGTTAAGGACAGGAAAAGAGAAGGTGGCTTTTGCTGCCTCAGTCAAAGTTACAGACTGGGAAGGGGTCAGTCAGCCATCAATCGGCTTCCTCCAGCTCTTCTCACTCCTATTTCCACCCCGCTCGGCTTTCCACAACTTCTGAGTCTCTGGCCTCTGTAGTGGAGTGAGTGCTTATAATGAAAAGATTTCCAACTAAAAGGGATTTTAGAGATCGCCGAACCCAGCCCTTTCATTTGTCAGATAAGGAAACTGAGACCCAGAGGAGTGAAAGGACACTTCCAATATCAAACAGGTAGCAAATAGCAGGGCCTGCTGTTTCCACTTTTTCCCCTCATGGGGTTGCCTCCAGCCAGCTCCTTTCCTCTCTGGTTCCCTAACCCACTGTGGGAGCTGGGAACCTGGGCTTCGCACCTCCCTACCCTGCAACCTTTCATTCTGGGGGTGTGAAGTACGGGGTGTTGTGAGTTCGGGGAGGACGTGTCCACCAGTTCTCTGCCTGGAGGCTGCGCTGGGTTCTGACTTTCCCAGCTGCTATAGCTGGCATTTCTCCACTTGGACCTGGGGCTGCTTTTTCTCTGCTGTAACAAGGGATCTTTTCACCAATTTATGAGTGCTTGCAAGGATCGAGATGCCTGTGGAGAACTATTATTTAAATGCAAATTCCGCGGTTGAAGTAGAGATTTTAGAGGCAGTACACACTTTGACGCAGTAGTTAAACACAGTCCTCTTTGCATTTCTCCCACCACACCCTGCCTTTCATCCTTTGTACCACCTTTGCTATTTACAGGTGTGTCTCACTTCAAGACATCTGTCCCATAAGTTAGGGCATGATTATCCCATTTTATAAAAGGGTCCTGTTTCTGGATAGCTCCCACGGAAAAAAAAAAAGCAGGGAGCTCAATATGAGAAAGATCAAGAAATGAATGTCTTCACTCTACTGGATATACTGCTTTTTCCATAAATTAGTTCCTAGAGTTGGTCTTTGATCTAGATTTTGCTCAGAAAAGAGCTGTGCAGAGCCCATTAGTGAGACAAGCAACCGCTTTCCTTTGGAAGTATTTCAAACCTTTGCCTTGCCTGTTAATTTCGTTTCAACTTGGAGAGTAAACTCCTTTCAGCTTCTCAAATACAGCAAAATTAAATTCAATGCAACAAAAAGTTCTTAAGCAGCCTACTTTCATATACCAAGACACTATGCTGAGTGCTAATTCAGACCACACTAGCTTTGAGTGGAACTTTCACCTGTGGGTTAGTTGATTTATCAGTCCATTCACTCAGTGAAGACTTGTTGAAGCCACACTACCTGTAAGGCCATATACTAAGTAAATTAGTAGTTTAAGCAAGACTACACAGGGGAATAATGTTTATTCACATTCAAAACCCAGCTCAACTTTTACCTGCTCTAAGAAGTATTCCCTGATCTCTACAACCCACACTGGTCTCTTCTTTCTCAGAACTGCTGTACCAGAATTTATCAATTGCAATTCAACAATCACTTATTAAAATCCTACTATGTACCAAGCATGGTACTTTAGTATTGGGAATGAAAAGAAGAAAATTTTTAGTCTCTGCCCTTTAAGGTGCTTACAGTCTGATGGGAGTGGGGGAGGAGAATAGCACATATATACAAATAATTATGATACCAGATAGAATATGATCAATATTATCAAAGTCAAACAAACCACTTTATATGGCCTCTAATTTTTTCATAATAGTCTTGAGGAGCAGAATGGCAGCATACACAGGATCAGTCTTGGAATCAAGACCAGGTTTCAAATTGTACATTTTCGCTGTGTGACCATCTGCAAGGCACTTCTTAGTGCTCTATTGAAACTCTAAGTTGCAAAGAAACTGCTGATCTGCATTAGTGGAGAGCATTTCCATACTGAGAGTTTCCCATAATAGTAGAATCACAGGCAATTCTGGACTGAGGGGGGAAAAATAGCACTTCATGTTAAACCTTATGGTTCTTCCCCAGGAGACATTGTATCCCTAGCACTTTTCTCAAGTACTAGATATTCCTTTTCTCATCCCCTCCTTCACCTGCTCCCTACATTAACACACACTAAGCCAGGAAGAGAAATAGGAATAATTTTTACTCCTTTCTGAAATTACCACATTCATTCAGTAACCTCTCCTCTGTGGAGTTTCACACCATCCAAAGATGGCATCCATTCTAGATCCTATTATTTATTGTTTCCCAAGTCAATCTTCCTCATTGTTCAGGAAGAAATTTCTCACTCCCTTTCTATCCACCTCAGTGATCACCCTTCTACCTAGGTACTTCAATTTATGTATTGGTTCCCTCTCTAATACTTTCACTGTTCAGTTCTTCAACCTCTGTAATTCTCATGATGGTGAAGATAACCTTCATTTCACTTCAGTCACACACAAGGACAGTGATAGAGTTGTCAACCTACAATCGTTGCACCTGCATAATCAATAACTCTAAAATTTCTCTACCTCACCATAACTTTCATGGTCCTCTGTGCTTCAACCCACTTAAACCTGTTCTCCATCCTCACTGAAATCTCCAATCACTCTATTCTTTCCTCTTTATCCAGGCCACATCATACCCCACCCCCACCCCAACTTTCCCTTCAAAATTTTGACCCTACAGTTAACTGGTCCAAATTGATGTATACCCTTTGCCCTTGAGCCCCATTGTCCTAACACTGATAGTACTCAGATATAAGTTTCTTGAGGAGAGAAACAGTCTCACCTTCATATTTGTATCCACAGTGCCTAGCACTTAATAAATACTGTTGATTGCTTATTTCTCCAAGTAGAACTTAATATACTAGTGGTCAAGAGTTTCATCTCATTTTTGTGTGTGTGTGTGAATAAAGTCTAATATAAAATGAGATGAAACTCTTGACCACTAGTATATATTCATACAGGTATGAATTAAATGTGTCATTGCCTATTGACTTTAACTGGGGGAAAAAAATGCCTTCAAGTATTCTTCAACGGACTTTAGCAGTACATATTTGCCACAAACAATCAATATGCTAATTACAAAAGACTCTTACCTACTCACAGGGAGTCAGCCTAGTACAGTGAAAGTAGTGGACTTGGCTTCAAGGGAGATCTGGGTTGGAATCTCAGCTCTAACATTGCCTAGATTGATACCAGCAGACTCATTACTGTGTGGTCATAAGCAATTCACTTGACTTCTCTGAGTTCTGAAAAGTGAAAATGAAAAATATTTATAGAATCTACCCCCTCCATAAGAATGTTGCAAAGATAAAATGAGATGTGTGTGTAAAGCAATTTTTAAACTTTGAAGTTCTATGTAAATGTCAGCTATCATTATTCATCGAAGTGGGTCTTTGGAAGACCTCTGCTTGGCCATTCTTTCAAGCCACTGTGGGTATTCGAAAATTATTCAATTTTATTTCTTTATGGATAATTTTTGCAGTTCAGTCTTCTGCACTCATAATTTGTCCAATTGATAACAATAGTAACCGCTGACATTTATAGAGAGCTTAACATTTTACAAAGTACATTATCTCATTTCATAAGCTGCTGAGACAGGGACCACCAGTAGCACCATCCTATAGATGAGCCTCCTACAGGGTAAGGGATTTGCCCACCGTCACACAGCTAATACAGGTTGGAGACAGGATTCAAAAGTCAGCTATCTCATGATTCCAAGTTGAGGACATGGCTCTTTATATATACCAAAATGCCTCTCACAGGTCTTACTCTAGGCTTTCTTTCCCATGACCCAGAAACCTCTTCATCCTGGAAGCTCACTCCAGCCCTGGAATTCACTCTTTAGAAGTACCCTCTGCCCCAGTAACCTCTTTCTCTGATTGGATGGCTCTTTTTCCAGGCTGCAAATGGACTTTTTCTACCCTCCCCTCTCTTTCAGCTTTTTTTAATGTGTTGTCTCCCCGCCCCACATTACAGTGTAAGCTCCTTGAGGTCAGGGACTTTATTCCTGCTTGTATTTATGTGCTTGTAGCATAGTGCCTGGCATATAGTAAGTGCTGCATAAATGCTTGTGGATTGGTGGGCTGGCTGACAAGATGGATTTCTTGCATGTGTTTTTACTTTCCACTCAGTAAATATTTCAGGCACTTTTACAGCCCAGGGAAATCTTCAGAATATATTTAAACTGAGCTACCTCTTTGCCAAGGAGGTATTGAAAGTCCTTGTCTCATGTGCTCCCTTCTGAAACTGCCACATTTGGAAATGCAAGAAAGCACCCATCTGAAAAGGCTGCTTTCTCCAAAACACTTCCTGGCAGGAGCACCAGTCTC